GCCCTGCATACCCAATATGTAGTCGAGGAAGAATGTTGAACGAGAACATCGAGGATTCTAAGTATGTTCTGCTCAACGATGGATCACCCACGATGATAAATACTCCGCGAGAGAAGGAATCTGCAATTGATATAACGCTGGCTACGCCAGGAATTGGTGCAAAGGTGACATGGAAAACAGTAGATGAGGAATTCGGTAGCAGACACCGGACTATGCTGCTGGAAATCGGAGGACAAATCCCAGCTGTCAAAAGATCCACCAGGCGTATTAACAAAGGAAAGTTGATCGAAAATCTGAATAGGATACGGCCGCAGTTCATATACTCGCCTTCGGAAATGGTGGACATTTTTGAGGAGCAAAAGGAAAAGGCGTCGTTTGTCATCAAGAACAAAAAAGCGAACTATATCAAACAGTGGTGGAACGAGGAAATAAAAAAAAACTGTATGAAAGCAAAAGAGTAGTCCTACGAACATACAACATCAACAAAACGCAAACCAACTACATCAAGCAAAGAGCAGCATTCAAAAAGGAGGTACGAAGAGCCAAAAGGCAATATGTTAAGGAGCTAGCGGAGAGGATCGACGAAACTACCCCTTCACGACAACTATGGAACATCATAAAAGGGATTGATACAGGACTTTCTGAAGAAACCAAAGTCAGGAAAGGGATCAACCATCAGGATGGAGTACTGTTTATGGATTACTATTTCAAGGATAAAATAGGGGAAGTGAGGATGCCGTATAAGCCGACAGAGTCATATTTGGAAGGATATGAAATGGCACTAAAAGATGAAGAAATTTTGACTGCCCTCAAAAGTCGAAACGGAAATTCCACGCCCGGGGAAAATGGAATTTCATATGCCATCCTGAAACAGCTTGATATGGAATTGCTACTGAAGGTCTGCGAGATGCTGAGTAGGATGTTCGTGTCGGAGGAGATTCCGGAACGATGGAGAACAACAATAATTCAGCAAATACCGAAAAAAGGAGCAGATCTAAGTCTACCTAACTCCAGGAGGCCGATAGCACTAATGAACGTGGAAATCAAACTGATAAATGCGGTGGTTAAAAATCGGTTGGCGGAGATTGCGGAAATTAGGCAGCTTATTCCCAAACTATCCTTTGGTTTTTGAGCACAAGTCTGCGCAATGACTTGTGTAAACTATGTGGTTAACACAGTAAAAGAATCGCAAGAACTAGGGAAGGTAGTGCTGGTAGCCTTTATAGATGTTAAAATGGCCTACGATTCGGTTAATACTAACAAACTGTTGAGTACTTTATCTGCTATGGGGGTTCCTCAAAAACTTGTATCATGGATCTATATCTATCTAAAACACCGGAAGCTAATACTCCGTACCGATGAAGGAAACGTTGAAGTGAAGGTCAGCGAAGGATTACCACAGGGGTGCCCACTCTCTCCTATCCTATTCAACCTTTACACTGCTGGATTACATAATAATTCGGAAGATGACTGTGAGCTCGTGCAATTTGCCGACGACTTCGCTGTTGTGGCTATGGGAGAAAATCTGGATGAAGCAGAATACAAACTATGCTGTTTTCTTGATGGTTTCTATGACCAACTGCATGCGCTAAACCTAAAAGTCAGCGCGGAAAATCAGCAATTATCCCCTTCACAAAAAAAAATACCGAACATCTGAGAATAAAGGTGAAAAATGCGAAAATCGAGGTAGTAAACACGCATAAGTATCTAGGATACACACTGGATAAAATGTTGTGTCATAGGAAACACATAGATAACATTAAAGAAAACGCAAGCAAAAAGATAGGGCTGATGAAACTAATTTCCAAAAAGACATCTGACGCAAACCCCAAAACATTGCTGAGGATCGGAAATGCTCTCATAAGGAGTCGACTGGAGTATGGAGCCATAGTTTATGGGAATGCGGCAAAGACTAACTTGGATAAAATCCAAAAGGTCCAAAACAAGTACATTAGAGCAGCAATGGGATACCTACGGAGCACGCCGGTTCATGTCATGCTAGCAGATTCAGGACAGCTACCGATGAACCAAAGGATTGAGATGCTGACGAAAAATGAAGTAATTCGAACAACCTTCTACGATACGCCATTAATCAAATTCATCAGCAGCTCATTGTCAAGGGAAGTACCAAATGGCTCCTACCTTACCGAAATTGCAGAAAAACACGTGGATATTGTCTACCAAGTCCATCCACGGGATAAGGAGATCCCGTTGCACAAACGTATGAGGTTTTTCCATACAACAGACCTGAGAGATGTGGTAGTACCCAAGTCAGGCAAAAATTTGCCCAAAAAAGAGAACTGCCATAGCGCAATTTTGAGGCAACTCTTCCAAGAGACCATATGCAATAACTATCAACAACATAGCCTGATATTCACGGATGGATCCAAAAGATCGTGTGGAACTGCCATAGACCACCAAGATAAGGAAACCTTCACGGACAGCATCAATACGAGCTACTCCATAACAAATGCAGAGCTAATGGCCATCCTACGGGCTGTTGAAATGGCTAAAAGGAAAAAATACGCCAAAACAGTAATATTGACTGATTCTAGGAGTGCTTGCGAGACTCACCTGAATGAAAAAACGGTAAATGAAAATTTTATAGCATGGGAAATTTTCAAAGAAATCCAAAATCGAGGAAGGATGCAGATCAAAATTCAGTGGATTCCCAGTCATGCAGGCATTGATGGGAACGAAATCGTGGATCAAGCTGGTTAGAAAAACAACAGATCAACAATCAGATTTCAATGGCATCACCATGGGAGATGCCATAAATTTGAGCAAGATAGAAGTCTGGAGCGATTGGACAGAGCAGTATAAAAGAACATCAACGTCGAAAGGAAGATGGCACTTCAGGATAGCGGAAACCCCATACCAAAGAATATGGTCGAATAATCTAAGGCTAACAGCGCTGCAGATTAGAATGTTAAGCAGAATCAGAAGCGGCCACACACTGACGAAAGATAGGAGAGCTAAATGGAAGATTGAACAAGACGAATTTTGTGTTCTTTGTGAAGAAACTGAAGACTTACGGCATGTGCTGTATTACTGCCCGCGATACAACATAAGCAGAAGCAAATACCAAGTGCTAGAGTACATCAAACCGCTGGAAGAAATCTTCGATGAGAAATGTGAAGAAAGCATGCTACAAATCTACAAGTTCATCCAAGAAGAGAAAATACAAATATAAACCAGACAACAACACCCGCATAAACGCGAACCATCACTTGACCTTACCTAAAATGGTTAAAAATTGTTTATAATCCCTGCTAAACTTCAACTGAAATGGTTATGGAACTTTACATGAACGTTTAATGATAAAGTTTCAACCTTATGTATTATGATTTTTTTGAACTGGACCTTACAAATAATGGGTTGTTAAGAACCATTACCATTCCAAATTGTTGTTTTCTCCATACATTTTCGGAAAGAGAACTATATAAGAACGTTTTTACTTATGATTTGAGAACATTAATGGTAATGGTTATGGTAGTCAGTAAGGTCCATTAATGGTTTTGTATTATCGCTCAACTTTATGTGGAATGTATCGTGAATTGGTAATCAGTAAATTACAGGCAACCAATTCGCGATATATTCCACATAAAGTTGATCGATGTAACAAAACCATTCGTGAACCTTACTGACTACCATAACCATTACCATTAAAGTTCTCAAACCATAAGTTAAAAGGTTCTAATATAGTTCTCTTTCCGAAAATGTATGGAGAAAACAAGAATTTGGAACGGTAATGATTCTTAACAATCCATTATTTGTAAGGTCCAGTTCCAAAAAACCATAATACATAAGGTTGAAACTTTATCATTAAACGTTCATGTAAAGTTCCATAACCATTTCAGTTAAAGTTTAGCAGGGATTATAAACAATTTTTAACCATTTTAGGTAAGGTCAATTTATGGTTCGCGTTTATGCGGGCAGCTTCAAAAACCAGAAAACAAGACAACCAAAGAGGTGGCAAGATGGACCAACTGTGGTCTTAGCCGGTCGAAAGACAACAAAAAAAATGTCTTCACAGAAATTCAAATGTCTTCAAAATGAAGACATGTCTTCAAATCTGGCAGCCCTGATCGACAGAGAAGAGCCCTGCTGAAAAAACCGAAAAAAAACGTAGCGATTAAGGCCGGTATACATCTGCTCATCCAGTTGTCCTCAACATTGAACAACAGAACAAATCTAGATAGAGCTGGAATTAGGGCGTAACAGCTTTTGTAAACAATGATTTCGACAGTGAGCATGCATAAGGGTGAATACGCGATGATCGATTCTCTTCATCGATTTTCTCTTTGCATTGCTACAGCTAAGCGAAACAATTTTCTAGAATTTGTTCAATGCAGAGTAGTAACAGGTTGTATTGGTTATCAAAAGCAACAGCAAACGCACCGAGAAACGTTAAATCTAGCGAGTTATTAACAAAAGAGAAAATCGACGAAGAGAATCGATCATCGCGTATAGGCCCTTATACATGCTCACTGTCGACTTCTCTCGATGATTTCTAGAAACTCAAGGCTCGCCCAAGCAAATCAATATCACCATCAGGTAGGGGAAGTCTTCCCCTACCTGATGGTTATGTTGGTTTGCGTTGGCGCGCCTTGAATTCCTAGAAATCATCGAGAAAAGACATTGTTTATAAAAGCTGTTAGGCCCTAATTCCAGCTCTATCTAGAAATGCTTTATAGGGGCTTATGGGAAGATTAGAGTTTGTTAGGGCAGTTCTGAGAACTGTTTCTAAACAACTTTAGAAAAGTTCCAAAAAATGTCAAGGAAGTCCAGAGAACTAAAAATTATTGGAAGTTCCGAAAAATCAGGTAAAACAGTAACCTTTATTAAAAATGGTAATTCAGATTAGAAATTAGATAAGATTTCTTTGGTGAGGAGACTCTCTGCCGTGGGCTGGTTCGTCTCTGAAATCTAATTCACGACGGTTGCCTGTGAATCCTAAAACTCATGTTATCAGCCTTCCATCTGCTTTCCTTCCCCAGAACAACCTCAACTACGCAATCTGCATCCGACGAGCCCCCAACTTCTGTACCGTTACGTTTGAAAACATCGGCGATACTGGCGAAGAAAACCAGTTTCAGATAGTCAATCAAGATGAAGGTATTGTGTTTTTGATGTTGGACAAAAATTATCAATGACTATCCATCTCTCACTTCACGTCCGCAGATGGCGTCAGCTTAATTCGCCCGGGCACGGCCGGAGTGGAGATCTACAACTGTCCGGACGATTACATCGCCATCAACTACCTGCGGCTGTGCGGCGAACGCCTGAACGATGGAGCCAGTATCGAGGATTACACCCGGAACAGTCCGGTGATGGAGGACAGTGCGGGACCGCTCGTGGTAGCGGTTCGTTCCAACGACGAAACGGTTGGCCGCGGATTTAAACTGAGATATCGACAGGAGCTTTGTCAGAAAGGTTGAATAAATTGAGGAACATTTTACGATTTTAAAGCTTTATTCGAACGAAACTCAACAAACGTTTGGGTCATTTGAAGATTTTGCCTCCGTACTTTTCCCTACACATCTCAACAGTGGTGTAGGTAAGAAGCAATCGGCGTTCTATTGCGGTGTAGTGTTCTTTGGTCAGCAGAGGATGAAGGAGATCAATTTCGCTTAATGCCTGCAGGGTTTCCGATAGGGCTCCGCCAGAAAACGTCTGCAGTCGCTCCCACGTGGTTCGACGGATCCTAGAATATTTCCGTTTGGTTAAGCGATCAACGAGGAAAACGGTAGTTTAAGACTTACATGCAGCACTGGTACAGTGGTGCCAGTATGTCAAAATGATCCTTGAATGGATTACCGAATCCTTTTCCGTTATCCACCAGCAGAACGCGATCGTCTCTGGTTTCGTAGTGATGGCGATCGCCGTTTTGAATGAGAAAATCGAAAATGGCTACATCGATCAGGTCCAACAGTCTATCTAGTGGCAGTTTTTCCTTAACTTTACTACAGTACCCATCGGATATCTCCCATTCGGCTTGCACTCCATCCCGATAGGTTCGTTGCCATGGGGAGCGGTACTTGGAAAACTTCCCCGGTACCATGAGGAGCATAGCTCCTTCCAGCATTTCCGTTTCCGGATCATCACAGACAGCTTCGGTTTGCTTGCAGTAGTGGCACTTGCCATAAACGCACTGACGGGTGTCGTTTTCTAAAATAAGGACCAAATTTGCGTGAAGAATTCGGTTCGTAAAGACAGAGGAGACCTACTAGCCATGGTTGCCTTCAGCTCATCGTCCGCTAATCGGTAGATTTCCTGCAGCGAAACGCGCCGTCCAACGACGATCGGAGTCCAGCGTAGATTGAGTATGGCAGCTAGATGAAACGAAACAATTTCCGAATTGTGCCGGTCCTTTCCGGAGTACACTGTACCTTCGATAACGGTGTCCTTCCGGTACCAGCTTGGTTTGAACAGAACGGGCTGTTTGCCCGTCAGTTCCAGCAGCAGCTTCAGTTGCGTCCCCCGTGGGGTGTTCTTCGCGCTGACGATTGCCGTTTCCTGAAGCGCTCGGATGACCTTTCCGATCCGCTCGTCTTTCTGCGGGAAGATTTCGCTTGCGCGGGGCCACTGAAAGTGAACAGTCAGCGTATCATTGCTATTTAAGTGAATTCCTTCTGCTTTTCAGACAAAATTTCAGAACCTGGGCAAACTTTGATCTATATAATGTTTAGGTATTGAATAAAATAACAAATGTATTCATTCCACTTACCGCCCCGGCGGTCTTCCACACGCTCGATATGTTGTAGCTCTTCAGTCCAAACGATCGCAACAGCCCGCGCTTCACGGGATAATATCGGGGATTTCGATTCTTGAACACTGTCTTCAGCTTTGCCACCTGCGACTGGACCGCTTCCTGAACTCCATTGGCCCGATTCGGTCTCAAACCTTCCTGTTGTTCCTCCTGAACCAGCCGTAGCAGCGGTTCATTGCCATGCTTCCTGTGATGGCCATCCTTTTCTGATGGCGAAATCCTCCGGTTATCATCGTCCACCGCCGCCGTCGTCAGCGAGTTGATGAAGAAAAAATTGGCGACGAAGATGATCACCAGCAGTAGGAACAGCAACGCGACCACTACCAGGTACAGCTGTCGGCGCTTCGTCATCGGGTGCGGCACCGGCTCGGCTTCCTCCTCATTAGAGACTGTTTTTATGGGTTTAAATAAAAATAACACAGCTAACCCGCGAAGCGCGAGTACTAAATCGCGATTAATTTAGCTTATTTTGAACGCTCGGTCGCGGGCAGCGACAAAACGTAAATAAAGAGATAACACTGCGAGAAATATTGCTGAAAAATCCTTTGAACCAGCACGCAGCCAAATGCGATGTTTTCATGGACAACCACGTGCTTGTGCAAGAAGCGAACTAGGAACCACAACAAAAACTGCAAACATTGTTTTGGTTTATCGCCGGTATCATCATTCTTTAAAAAAAAAGTGAATTTCATGCAATTTTAGTGCTTTAAAATGTTACGAAATTCTGCAAAACTCACGGCAAATTTTGTGGGAAGGAGCAGCTTTCGTTCGCACCGCTGGCAGGTTCGACCATGTTCCTCCACCAGCAAAAGAATTGAATCCCCAGAGGAGCTGTTCGAGCAGCTCAAGGACAAAATTCGCTACAGTTCCTTCGTGGAAAACAACACTCTGAAGCTGGGCTACAGGAGGAACAAAATCATCGAGTCACGATTGGCCAAAGCTAAGCGGGATCACTTGACACATCAGATTCGGGCCCAGCCATTTCCGGTCGCACTGGAGCAGTTGTATGGCGAAAGGTTCCAAGATCCCTCGCCGGTGGATGCCGAGGAATCCGAAGAAGTAGTTGACTATTTTCCCTACCAGAAACTCGTGAGGAAGATTGAACGGGTGCCCCGGGATGAATCCTCCTCGGCGGAAGAAGCAGCACCGACAACCGGTGATTGGATGTCCGATTACGAGTATTATGAAGAGGATGAAAACGATGATCGAACGTCCTTCTATGGAACGCCAGATCCGACCCAACCAGTTTCTAAAATTCCTTGCGGTGGCTGTGGAGCATTGCTGCAATGCGCCGAACCAAGCATTCCCGGGTACCTGCCCAGTCAGCTGTTTAAGAATAAATCCAAGCAGCAGCTAATGACCACCATCTGCCAGAGGTGCCACTTTCTGAAGAACTACAACACCGCAATCAACATCACCGTTTCACCGGATGATTACGTCGAAATGATATCCTCCATCAAGGATACGAAGTCACTCGTCCTGTTGCTGGTTGGTTCCATTTTGCTAGGTCTGTTTCCAAAACAAAATGCTATTAATTTCTCTTCTAATCCCTTTCAGGTGGATCTCCTCGATTTCCCGTGCTCCATCTGGCCGGGTCTGTCGGAAATTCTTGGACCCAAACGATCGATAATCGTCGTCGGGAACAAAGTCGACCTTCTTCCACGGGACTGCCCTGGCTATCTGGACAACATTCAGAACAACCTGACCAAAACCTTCCTGGAGGCAGGCTTCACCAGAAATAACATCAAACACGTGTCGCTCATCTCGGCCACCACCGGTTATGGAGTCGAACAGCTGATCACCAAAATCCACAACGTCTGGGGAACACGTGGCGACGTCTATCTGGTAGGATGCACCAACGTCGGCAAGAGCTCCCTGTTCAACGCCCTTCTCCGGTCCGATCTGTGCAAAGTCAAAGCAACCGATCTAGTCCAACGAGCCACGGCTTGCCCTTGGCCCGGCACGACTCTCAAGATGCTAAAATTTCCCATCCTAAGACCTTCTGATTACAGGCTCTATCTTCGCTCGAAACGACTTCAGTCCGAACGCGTCATACTAACCGAAGAGGAAAAACTACGCAAGCATCAAGCCAGAAGCACCGGATCACCCGAATTCGCCACTCTAATTGGTCACATTGGTCAAACCTTCGCCGACGAAAAACCGGAAACGGCAGACAGTTTTTCCATCTCGCAAAGAGGATCTGGTCCGTCCCCCATCCTGACTCTTAATGAAAAAAGCGACGACTACATCAACAGCAAATGGTGCTACGACACGCCGGGAGTAGTCCAACCGGACCAAATCACAAACCTCCTCACCACCGACGAACTGCTTCTCACCATACCGAAGCAGATGATCCGTCCGAGAGCGTACCTCTTGAAGACGGGACTCACGCTGTTCCTAGCCGGTCTAGGGCGTCTGGACTACCTCGAAGGACCGGAATCGACTCGGGTTCTCCTGTACGCTTCCCCAAACCTCCCGACACTGATCTGCGACACCGTCCACGCCGAACACATCTACCAAAAACTTCTGGGAACGGAATACCTCCGGGTACCGCGAGCCGATCCGGAACGGCTAGCCAAGTGGCCCGCCCTGGAAGCCAGTCCGGATATTCTGCTCTACGGTGAGGAAAAGCACATTTCCGTAGCAGACGTGGTGCTGTCGTCAGCCGGGTGGATCGCAGTGAATCTACCGGATGGTGCAGAAGCGATTTTCCGCGCCTGGACTCCGGAAAAGCGGGGCATCTACGTGAGGCAACCGGCACTGTTGCCATTCGGTATGGCGCTGAAGGGCAAGAGGATACGGGGCAGTTTAGCCTATCGGGAAGGGGACGCATTTTTGAAGCAGTGAGCAGCAGTCAGAGTTATACATTGAAGGGTAGAATGTTAGCCGGTTTTCCGTTTGTGTTCCGAAAGTCCCTGTTGCGGATTGTGGATCGGGATTGATCGTATGCAGCAGTGGAAGCAGCGTTTGCGTCTTTGATCGGGGAGACTGCGAGGATTGGGATCACGGTAGGCAACGTGGCAGCAATGGTGGTGTTCGATGGTGATAAGTTTGGAGTCGTGTCTTGAAACACATTGCAGTTGTAAATAGAGTTTTTTGCAGACTACGTAACCAACTGAAGTCTGGTAGTTTGCTGACGCAAAATCCGCGGATTTTACGAAACCCTTTTTGCCTTCTGCGGAAATTTCTGTACAGTTGTCTCCCTCCTTTAGTTTAAAGAGCCTGGGAGGCTCTTTACTTTAGTTGAAGCACGTTACAAGTTGTAAAGGGGTATACCAACTAGATCTCTTCGAATACTGGATATTCATAAATTCTGGGACGATGGCATTATAGTATATATATGGAAGCCTTTGATCTCTTCGGTCTGATTCTGCCTATCGCTGCCAGCGCACTTTATACAGTCGTTCCGGACCAGTAGTTGGATTTAGAGAGAGAAACTTTCCAGCCTGATCAGGTAGACCACAATTGAAAAATATGCTTTACTTGATGATTGTTCGAATTTCAACGGTATCGCCATGACCACACAATATTTGTCCATTTAACCGCTGGGTGTCGCTAGTGTCTTCGTTAAACGAACGACGCAGCTAAAGTTCCGTCGATAAGTGAAGGTCGCAACTCAAAAATAATGTATAACTTTTGGGGATCGATAGATAGAGCTTTGGAATGTTCTACAAAGTTGTCAAATTATCAATTATCTACCTAATAGTAACATTATTCACGCTTCCGGATTTTTAAATTCCACGACTTCCGGTGTGTGGAAAACTGTCAAACACCCTGAATGGACAGTAGCGCAGAGTAAATTTTAACTTTAACTGAACTTCTGACTAACTTTTATTTGAAGTACGTAATACACTTTGTTTATGCTAATGGAAAACCAGCAACACTGTAACGAGAGAAAAATCAGAATAAGACGAGCTTTTTTTTATCGACGGAAGTCCTTTGTTTTCGTTCTCGGAAGTTAGCCAAACCATTCATTTTTTCTTGCCGGAAAAGCTTGAGCTATCGTTGGACACACCCAACAATATGTGTATTTTCGGAACGGGGACAATGTGCAGAGGTCGGAAATTGATGTTTGATGTCATTTTGAAGTCCAATATGGCAGCTTCCGGTTTTCTTAAATGCTAGATAACACCTTCTGGTTTGTGGAAAATTGTAAAAATACACAACAATATGGATATGTTCAGAACGGGGACAACGTGTAGAGGCCGAATATCAATGTTTAACGTTCAATACAAGATGGCGGCTTTCGGTTTTCTAAAATCCAAAATAACTATCAAATGACGATCAATATGGTTAATTTCGGAGCGGGGACAACGTCGGAAATCGATGTTAGACGCCATTTTGGAATTAATGATGGCGACTGCCGATTTGTGAAAAACTTTGAGAACGACGTACAGAGGCCAGAAATCGATGTTTGACGCCATCCTGGATTCCAAGATAACGACTTCCGGTTATAGAGGAAACTATTAAATACCCATCAATATGCACGGAGAATGAGAACGACCCAAATTTGAGTTTAGTTCACTCATAATCGCCAAAAGGGCAGGAACTCAGCGATGAGTAAATTTGCCTCATGTTTTTCCAGGATTTTCTAGGGAAAAATTCCCGAATTTGAGAAAAGTAAAGATTGGATTCACTCAGTCTATTGGTACTACTCCGAGACTGAATAAAATTTTCGTTAATTTCCTCATTTTCCGGCAGATTTTCCACAGGAAATTATGAGACAAATTTACTCATCGCTGAGTTCCTGCCCTTTTGGCGATGACGTGCAAATGGCGACATCCGGTTTTCTGAAATCAACGATGGCGACTTCTCTGAGTATTTTTTTAAACCCAACAGCATGGATATTTTTGGACCGGAGAAGACGTGTATTGACGCACGGAAATTTATGCTTGACTCCATTTTGGGATCCAAAATGGCAACTTTCGACTCTAAAAAAACAGTTAACTATGCTACAATATGGGTATTTTTGGAACTGGGATGACGTGTAGACGTCGGAAATCGTTGATTGCCTCCATTTTGAAATCCAATATAGCGACTTTCGGTTCTAGCAAAACTTTCAAATACGAAATGACCGAGGGGGGCGACTCTATCTACGATGCAGGAAATATTGTGTTTTGCTGTGGCTAGCTGCGCGTACGCTGAGTAGATAGAAAGAAGATTTATCACGATTTTGGAGATTTCCTGCAAAAAGATGATGCGCGATGCAAGTAGATGCGAGAAATGGAAGAAGGTTTTTCGAAGATTTATTCGCTAGTGTGAGATTTTTTGAACATCTAGAATTGAGATTTAGATGTGTCGCCCCCCTCGGAAATGACAATTTGACGGAAATTCAGGGAAGTTCCATGAACTTCAGGAAAGCGAGAACTTCAATGAGAACTCCTGGGTTGTTCTGAATTTTCATAGAAGTTCCGAGAACTATAGGGAAGTTGCAGAATTTCAAAGAAATGCCGAATATTGAATTGGTCTAAGAATTTCAGGGAGCTTAAGGCGAGGCTTTAGTGGTGTTTCGAGTAAAATTTTGAAACTGCAGGTTAGCATTTTACCAAATTCAATTTCCTTCTAAGAACTGACTTAACGTTCTAGGTACTTCCCTTAGTTCCCGCAATTTTGCAGAAGTATTCGATTGATAGCTTCGAAAACTCCTTTTAAGTTCTTTGAAAATCCTGGTCGTATTTTAAAACTTTAAGAGTTGTTTTAACGTCCCTGAAGTTCTCAGAAATTTCCACTGATGTGTCCGTAACTTACCTCAAGTTTTCATGACATTCCTCAAATATACGGAACTTCCATGAAGCTCATGGAACTTTTCTAATATTTTCGATATTTCCCTAAAGTTCTAGGCATAAAATTGAATTATCGAAACTTCACTGAAAATCTAAGAATAAATAGCCGAGGAGTTCTCGGGACTTCCCTAAAAATCTTGAAATAGTTCAAGAATTCTTGGACCATCCCAAAAGTACTCGGACTGCAAAACAATCTAGAAATTCGACAGCTTCCCAGAAATTCTGAGAACTTTTCAAAAAAATCCAAGAACTTCCGACAAATTCCACAAACCCCCAAGAAATTCCTAAAAATTTCCCAAACATTCCGAGAAATTCCCAGAATTACCGAGAAAATCCGAGAACTTCTCAAAAATTCCAAAAATATTAGAGAATTTTTCAGAAGTTCCGGCAACTACCCAGACGTTCTGGGAACTGCACAGAAGTTCCGGGAACTTCCCATAAATTTCGAGATCTTTGCAGAAGATCCAACAACTTTTCAGAAGTTCTGTTTACGTTTAACAAATTCTGAGTATTACTAGATCTAGATCTTGGAACGTCCCATAAATTCCGACAGTTTCCCAGAAGACCCTCGAACTTATATACGTTGTGCCCGCGGGCCACGGACACAACGTATACTTCATTTAATTTAACATAGCATCTGCAAAATTAGACGAGTTCATGTTCCCCCGGATACAATATATATTCGTTGTGAGTCAGGTAAGACAGTAGCAGATCAGAGAACTTCTCCGAAATTCCAAGAACTATCCAAAAAAAATCCGATAATTTCCCAGAGGATCTCTGAAATTCTAAAAGCTTCGTAGAAGATCCGTATACTTCCCGGCAATTCTGAGAGCTTTCCAAAACTTTAGAGAAGATATCAGAACTTCCCAAACATTCCGAGAGCTTTCCAGAAGTCCCGTAAACTTTCCAGATAATTCAAGACGTTCACAGAAATTCCGAGAACTTCCCAGAGATACGAGGACTTCCCAAAAATTTCGAAAACTTACCATCAGTTCCGAGAGTTTTCCAACTCTTAAAAGATTTGTGAATTCCCCAGATGATCTGAGGAATTCCAAAATATTCGAGAACTGCCCAAAATTTTGGATAGTTTCTTACAAGATGTGTGCTCTTCGAAGAACAACCCACAATTTCTGTGAGCTTCCAAGAACTGGTCATAAAGATTCCACACTGAAAAAAGTTTTCACATAGTTTCTATTAGGAACGTGTGGTAGATAGAGTTGGTGTGGAATAATAATAATGAAATAAATAAAAACTTGAGAGGTGAGTCAAGTAATGAAACACTCAATTTGAGTTAAACTAAATTAGAGTGGAGCGTGGCAGAAGTGATAATAGAGAGATGCGAACAAAATCTCATGCTTAAGTGAGGGGAAATTCTGACACAGCACAGAGGTATAAAAACGAGCTACCTAAGCTCTTAGAGGTCATGAATTCTCTCTAGTTTCGTTCGTTCGTTCGCAAGTCGAATTAGCTCCGCGTTGTGTAGTGACGCTCTCGCTGACCCAGCCATGGGTAAGAAATCGCGCGGTAACGCGAGTGCCGGTTTACCGGGAAAACAGACTCTCCCAGGAGACGGCGCGACCACCGAGCCAGCCCAGAAGAAGCAGAAGAAAACCCCATTGCCCATCCCGACAGGCGTTGCGGACCCGCAGCCGGGGCCTCCCGGAACTAAACGACCCAGACCTGAAGACAGCAGCGCCACCGTATCAGCAGCAAAAAAGCTGCTGAGCAACAATCCGTTCTCCGCCCTGCAGAGCGGAGCCCAGCCGCAGTCGGACCCTGAGACGGTGCCGAAAAAAGTTAAGTTGCCACCCTTCTATGTGAAGGGCTTCCCTCCCGGGCTATGGGAGCAGCTGGATTTCTACATTAAGCAGGGCCTTCGCTGCACCATTCAACGGTGCACGGAAGGCTACAAACTGATGGTCCCGGCCGAAAAACACTTCAACGCAGTTCAGGCCCTCTTGGACAGAATGAAGCTGGAGTACTTCTCCCACGACATCGAGGCCACCAAGCCGCTGAAAGTGGTGCTGCGCGGGCTCCACGACATGGACACCACCACCTTATTGGACGAGATTAAGGCGAACGGCCTCAAGCCGGTCGAAGTCCACAAGATGACCCGCAGCAAGGCCATCAAGTATCGTGACCAGCTCTACCTGGTCCATCTGGAGAAGAACACCACAACCGTGAAGGATCTCCAGTCGACACGCACACTGTTCCACATCGTAGTGAAGTGGGAGCGGTATAAACCCACCCACCGTGGCGTCACTCAGTGCTC